TAAGTCCGTCAGTTCAAAGTCATTGAAGTACGTGTTTCCTCATTACCACGTGTACAGTCTCAAAGCTCCCAGTATCCAGAAAAGAGAGGAGGGGAGAATAGACAGTTGAAGGAGAAGTATAGCACAGCATTTAAGTCCCTCTTCTCCTTCGGGCTCCCCACCTCTGCCACGTCAGCAATCTGCACTCAATGTGCGACGTCAGCACTCTGTACTCAATGTGAAACGTGCACTAGGTAAAGGCCACCTGTGGCAGATAACAATCCTCCGGCAGCGAGCAGAATCGGTAGCGGCTCCAGCCGCTCCACATCTGAAGAAACCTGGTACGTACGCACGACTCACATTACCACACTCTCTCCCGCACTCTCCTCATTCCCTCTTGGTCAACTATTCTAGCAGCTATGGCTGCTTCTCTCTCTCCTTCACTCTAATAGCTAACAGACGCACAAGAAGCAGCATGGCGCCAGCGTTCACTCCTCAAGTCTCACGTGCAGCGTAGAAGCCGCAAGCAACTCGCAAGACTGAATACACGAGCAGTGGCGAGGTCAACCTTTTGTAGCGTTGACTCGTGCTGTCCAGGGTCAGCGTCCGTCCATCCATCCGAATATTCGCAGTTTTGGTCTGGACGACTCTAGGCCTGAATCTTCCGGTATCTGCAGGCAACTGTTATATGATTCCAGATAGACGGCCAGCCGGGCCAGAAATCTTCTGTTGACTTTGACTTCTCCGATCTGGACCTGGGTCCACGAGTTGACTGTTGACTTTTCGTCAACTGTCGGCCTGGGCACTTTCGAGGCCTTTTTGAGCCCCCTTGAAAGGCCTCGAGCCCTCGTTTTCAAGGCCTGCCCGTTTATGCCTGTCTGTGGGCGCGTCGGGAGCTCAATGGCTCAGTTTTGCACACAAGTTACAGCATGAGGCGAAGAAACGTTTTTTCGTATTTTATAGTTGGTTGTCCTTCAGTCGTTACCACCCACCCACCAGATCTCTATACTGCATATGCCATTTCCCTCGGCTTAGACCCGTCGCTGACGGAATTGAGTGGTCCAAAGCTATTGGACCTGGTGCTAATGGTGCATTGGTGGATTTACACGTCATCAGACCTCTCTTAGACGTCATTGGCATTGACGAGAAACACCGTGCAATCCAGCGTTTGTGACGTTGTGTTCATGTCCGTGTGAGTGCTTGGGGCCTTCATCGCGCGCTTTGCTTGGTACTAGCAGAGGCCGATGACTTTTCACACTCCACTTTCATAGAGAAGGGTTGATTGCTAGGGTCTCACTCTCTCAGCCAATCCTTGGTAAGGGACGAGGAAAATGAGCACTGGGACCAGTCATCTCGTTCGTCTCGGGAATAACAGCAGACCGCTGCATACAGTCATACACAAAGCTTGTTTCGCTCTAACATCCTTTCCCAACTTCGACCGCGATCCTGTCGTCGTTGGTGGGGGGGAAGGGAATTCGTCTCCAGCCGGAGGTGGCTGATTCCGACAGTTTATACAACTCTGCATCGTCAGATGTGCCTTGGCACTTGGCCGACAGCGTAGCTTTTTTTTTTTTTTTTTTTTTTTTTTTTTTTTTTTTTAAAGGGGGGCAGTCTTGAGTTATATCCCCAGGTGACCGGCCCCAGGTAATTCGAGATTGTTATGGAAGTTATTATTGTAGATTATATGCCATGATCATGACGTATTCAGCTTCCTTATGGAGCTTATGTTAGCATATCACCCCTTTTCCAATGGACCATTGTTTTCGTCTTCTAACCAGCAAGTCACTCTCCGAGTGGCAAGCACGCTATCAAACGATGATGAATTTGTCCTTTCTAATGCCTCTTAAATTCACCAACGCTATGCAATAGTATCATATTAGTATGTCATGCTTTATGTGATCGGACCTCCGATGGTTACTGCATGAAGGGAAGGTGGAGCTTGGTCAGTTCTGCTTTGGACTCAGCCGCGTTAGCTGTTTAGCCACCACAGCCTTGAATCCAAAATTGATGGCGCGGCTTATCTAGTATGGAGAAAACTCTACTAAGTAATCCCTTTCTGTTTAGCCACCATTGCCAAGAAAAGATGGCAGTGACGGGCGTCCCGCCGTCCACAAAAGGTGCACCTGGAGCCATAAACTTGGCATAGAGGACACCCAAAAAAAAAAGAAAAAAAAAAAAGGACACCATCTTCCTACGGAAGTCATCAAGCCCACCAAAGTAAGGATATGCCTGCACCCTCCTGCCATGCCACCACGGCCCACCAACCCTGTCGTTCCTGTGGTACAGAGCCATCCTTACAGCTTGCCTAGCCGGATTCCTGCGAGGCCTTAATTGCTGCAACCGATGGAGCTACTACCAGCTCTGCTATCACTAGTTCTGCTTCTGCCGCCCCTGCCAATCTTACAGCTGATGCTGCTGTGATTTCTGCTCTCCTCCTATCACTATCAATATGCTGGTGCTGCTGCCGGCGCCACTGCTAGCTTGCTATCAGCATTGCTGCTCTTGCTCCGATGACAATCCTAGTTGTTGCGCCTTGTACCACAACAGCTGCGGCAGTTACTCTCGGGCCTCGGCGGTGCTCCGAAAACTGGTGGTACTGGTACTGCTACTTATCCGCTCACGTCACTGCTCCAACTGGCTTTTCCCCTATGCATCTGACGGCAATAGCAGTTGGATACATCGGGGGACAGTTGGTGCATGAGCAAGCCCGTAGTGGATGAGGGCCTGCTCACGCTATGACTTTTTTTCTTTTCCTACAGCTGCGGACATGATTGCGATGAGATTCATCCGGGTATGTCCGTAATTGTAGTCAGATACATTTAGAAAAGCGCTACCGTCTTCACCCGAATACAAGGTACGCTGATTATAGCTGTATTTGGGATAAAAACGGCAGGGGCAGCTGCAGCAGCAGAACCGAGGCAGAAGTTACTAAAGTGATAGGCACTGATAGCAGCGGGGATTGTGGATTCGTTGATTTCAGCCACAGTCACAAGTAGATTAAGGCAGCACTGGAATCCGGGTAGGCAAGTTATAAAGACGCCTCTGGGCAAGGGAAAAGAACAGGGCTGTCGTTGGAGGACGGCTCAGGCATATCCTTTGTGTCGTGGGCGTGGCGGCTTGAGTATGGAATATGCCGTTCTCCATGGCTCCAAGTGACACATTTCGTGGACCTCCGTCACTGCCATCCTTTCTTGGTACTGCGACTGCGAGAAGGGCTACTGGAGGCACTCATCAGGTGGACGCTTATTCAGTGGAATTGGCTCCACAGCAGCGGAAACCGCGCCACACCAGAAGAGGATTCCAACGCGAAACTCACCAAACACCAACGTTTCCGTCGTGATGACTAAACAGCTAACTAGTAGAACTGGCAATCAGAAAAAGCATGTCTGCCATGGCGTACTATTTTACACGGATGGTGAACGTAAGAGGCATTGGGAATCTTTGTTTAAGAGAGGGCAAACTACGTGGAGAGTGACTTGCTGGTTAGAACCATGATAGAGGCAGTACTGGAAAGAATTTGACAATTTTGACTTGCTACCTTCAGTGGAGAAACGGAAAACAACGGTCAATTCTCCAACAGGTTTTTCTTTTGGAACATTCGTTATCATGATTGCTAATCTTGATCCGGATTTTCACGAGGGTGTCTGCGTGCGAGTGTCTTCTCTTTCTCAAATCGAACTGTACTCTTTGAGAGAAGGGGAAGATGACATCATGACAGAGGAGCTGGGGACGTGAAATGAATTAAAGAGGCAAGGGGTGGTATGGCTAGGGTGTAGTGGGAACATATACATCTAATCGAGACACGGAAAAGTTGTGGAGACTTTAAGAATCAGCCAACTCTGGCTGTCAATGCGTTCCTTTCCCCCACAACCAACAAAATAGAGAATCATGGTCGCACCGGGGACAGAAATGATACGTGGACTGTGACTCTGACCAGCTGTCCCCTGTTGTTCCCATTACGCACACTGTCAGATGACTGGCGTGCACATTCTCCACGTCATTGGCTTCTGTTAGCAAAATGCAAAGTGAGCAATGAGGGCCCGAAGGGCCCGAGGCCCCGAAGGAATCACAGAGACATGAACGTAACATCACAAATGGTGGATTGCACGGTGTTTCTCATCCGTCTGTGTGAATGCCGACGAAGGGCACGGGAGATCCGGCCACGAGGAAATGCACGATTAGCATTCTGTTGGCGCTGGTTCCGAGGAGTGGGAAGTGGCAATGCAGTATCTGGATCTGGTAGGTAGGTGGTAACCACTGAAGGGGAACCATCTGGAAAACGCACACACATACGGAAAACAGTTTCAAGTAAGCAAATCCACTCACACAGAGCCACGCAAGCAGGCATAAATGAGCATGCAGACTTTGCAGAGACACACACACACACAGCACACCAGCGCGGGTACTTGAGGTGACATCGGACGATTCCTCCACGCAACTCGATTTTGCGGGAAAGAAGGAAGTCCTATGGCACCGCAAACGGTGTCCTCACGAAAAGTCTACAGAGATGAACCATTGGAGCTGTACATTATTACATTAAATTTGACGCATTTCGAAGCCAAGCAGAACACAGTTGTCATCGACCAAGCCCTACGCGACAGAAGCGGAAAGTGATTACTCCGCATTCCACTCGGGAACATCCCACTCAAGATCCGCTTTCTACTTGGGGACATCCCAGGCCTGACTCTGTGCTCAGCTACCTTCTAACAGGCACTCCAATATCCGATGTGTTCAAGATCTAAAATGTGAAATCTGTCCTTCGGGACATTCCTTAAAATTGGAGCGATACAGAAAAGATTAGCATGGCCTCTGCGCAAGGATGACACGCATAAATCGAGAAATGGTCCAAAAAAAAGAATAAATAAATAAAATGTGAAATCAATCAGAGCAAAAGCAAAACGAAAAAAAAAAGAACAAAGATTGACGTCAAGTAAATGGACATTTTCAAGGAAAAATACCAACTGCACAATTGTCCGCACATGAGCAAACGGACAAGCAGTGTGTCCAAACGTTGCCACTGTGTAAAAATTGCTTTAGCTGATAAAAGACCAGCATGGGTGTCATGGAGTACATGGAGCGATTTTCAAACCAAGACGAACTCAATACATCACTACTCGACCAGATCGTCATCGCGATAAGAACGGTGGATGGTGATGAGCACCGGTCAAGTGCTGTCCGAAAGGCCGGAATAAGGAAAGTTCAACGCCGCCATGTCCCCAAAGCGTTGAGCCCAAACCTCATTCCGAACAGGAAAGGAAGAGGTAACCACATCTATTTAACACCTTGGCATAAATAAACAGACTGGACGGTAATCAAAACGATTGAAATAAATAGATTGACAAATAATAACTTAAACACCACCTGTCAGGACGACCATTGATCATGACGACTCTGACCGACGACGACGGTGCCCGCTATGCCGCTGGAGTGAAAGAAGTTTTCGAGACGGAGCCTTGAGAGGCTCGAAGGAGAAGGAGTCGAGTACAATCTCGACGTCGGCGTGGTCTTGCGGCAGGCTGGCTTCGTACAGCCACAGGTTGATGTGGAACACCTCGGTGCCTGGTGGTGGCACGGCGCCCACTTCCGGCGTGCTCTCGAAGGACCGGGACTGCAGATGCGCACCCGACGAGGCGGAGGTGCTGGTCCAGGACCGCTCGTTGGGCGACCAGGTCATCGCATGGATAGTGGCGTCCGGTCCGGGGACGGAGAAGCGCAGGCGTTGACCCGGCAGCTGGTATGGCTGCACGGCGTACTGAGTGTTTGTGATGTTGCTCGCGACCTCCACGTCGAACTCGCGATGCGGGTTGGAGAGCTCGCTTTGGGCGACGTCGGCGTAGGTGAAAAGCCCAAACACCACGTTTTCATGCAGATCATTCGTGGCCGATGACACCCTCACCGTGTAGGTGCCGTACCCCAGAGAAGACGGCAGGAAAACGTCGGCACAAGACCACCTGCATCCAGCAACAAGACAGACATTGTGCACCCAGTTCAAGTCAGTGGGACGTTTAGTTGGATCGGGTTGTGGTACGACTCGCTAAAACAACAAATTTGATAGGTTGAAAATCTTCGGTTATCTGACAACGACACCTCGACGTCGAAAACACCCGCCATTTCTTCTGCGGAAGCCCAACCTATACATTGGTAAGTAAACGCGACACTGTGATGCTTACCCTCCTTGCACGTTCTTGGAGATCTTCAGATGCAGTCTTCCTTGCTCATCCACGGTGGCCAGACTTCCATCCCAGCGATTAGGTCCAGGCTCCTCTACCCCGGTGGACGTCCGTGTGTTCCAATCCCTCCCCGAGAATCTCACAGTAGACGAAGAAGCTGCACCTACTGTCGGCGAGGAGGCAGCAGCTGCTTGGGACGCTGGGGCACCGTACGCCTTCACGATAGTGCCACCACCGAAGGGGTGCCCGCAACCCACTAGCATCACCGTCATTGTCACAACGAGCAGCAGGGCCATGATGGACACCATCCACGACTGTACGTGACGCGGAAAGCCTCCCAAATGACCGGCAGCAAGAAAAGGATGATCCGGAGCGAATCGAGGGGAAGGAAGTGCCGTGAGAGGACGAAGGGAGGAAGGCTAGCGGATGGGCAGGGACGGCTTCCAAAATGGTGGAGCGTTGGCCACTGGTGGCTCCAGCTGTGCAATCCGATTCAAGCGGCGTTTGCTTGATCTTCCCGCCAAGTGCAGAACAAAAACTGAGCGAGAACAGCTCCGTCAGAGATTACGTGGAGACCATGCTAGGCAGCAACCCGTAGGACGTCTGCTCAGCTGCAGGACTGGTCCACATAACACTCGACAAGCTATGTCCATAAATTATGCTCAGAGGAAAGCTGAACCCCTTCCTCGTGCGTGGGCTGTTCATGGACCGCCTGGTCTCAGCTCAAGCTCGCTCCTCCCTTATATACTGACCACACAGCCTCCTTCTACACTTGCTCGACAGCCTCGACGTTCGCACGATGGAAGAAGCGGCGCACTTCAATCTGCAAGCTGGGTCAGTCAAGCGCAGCTTTATAAGAGTGAAGGTCGTGGCATCGCTGCTGGGTAGCTATCTGACGCATGGAATCGGTCTGGCCGATGAAACAGATGGTGTTAGGAATTTTCCATAGGCGCCAAGTGTATGCGTACACTTCATCGTGTGTATGCTTGGCAACAGGAACGCAGCAGGCGGACTTGCTATACGCGGCGCCATGATCACCCGCCAATGCTCGTTGCATAACGAAATCAAAATTCGTCCAGGCCGGTACTTTCCCGCCCACCATTCCGGCGCTCACAATGACGAACGGGATTGAACGACCGCTGCCCAGCCCGAGAGGCAGAGGGCCTGGCGCGTCCGATCATTGTTACTTCATGGCGGGCGGTACCTGCCCGAAGGTTTTCGGACTGGAGTGGAGGTCGGGAGGGAAGGCAGGCGAGACCTGCGCGAGGAGAGGGGGTGGACCGGACGTAGGGCGGGAAAAGGAGAACGGAGACGAAGCGGGGAAACACACACATACACACACACACACACACACACACACACACCGAGGGAGGGAGCGGGGGAAATTTGTCGACATGTCGGTCCTCTCTGCTGCGATGGCGCTCCCTCGAGGGGCAATTTGGGAACTTCTCTGATATGGGCGGAGGAGATTGAACTTGCATTGCGCAAAGAGCGGGAAGATGATCCACCTCGTCGTTTTCGTGTTCTGCATTCCGCGCCTCTGAGATGGCAACTCAGCTGACGGTCCAATTCATGCCACCAAAACACTAGGCCCCATAGTTATTTCCTGCGAGAAAGAGCTGTACCACGATGCGTGTCCTAAACTGCTCCCACACACAGTGGTCATAGTTCACGCGAAAAAGTCCGAAGGTACACGTGGTGACGTGGGGCCTCGCGCTTCCGGAGGGAACCCGCTTGTGGTAGGCTAATTGTAACGAAGTATGAACCCAGCCTCTTTTCCGTCTGCATTCATGCTTTACAAGCATGTCTCAACGCAGATAACGCCACGCAACGCCCGACGCGCGGCAACAAAGACCGACCCGTGAAAAAAAAAAAAAAAAAAAAACCACGACCGATGATAGTCCTCTGGATACCCCTCATCGGTACTAGCGGGGTCTATGACCAACATGGTGTGAGTGTGAGCGCGAGTGGGTTGTGTGTGGTGTGTGCGAGAGTGTTGGCCATAGCCTCTGCTGCTACTCGATGGAGGGTGGGGGACAACGGACTGTGATAGTCCTCTGGATACCCCTGATCGGCATTAGCGGGGTCTATGACCAACACGGGTGTGAGTGTGAGCGCGAGTGGGTTGTGTGTGGTGTGTGGGAGAGTGTTGGCCATAGCCTCTGCTGCTACTTGATGGAGGGTGGGGGACGATGAGAAAGGGAGGCACAGCTACTGGCAGGCCTCGGTCTTTGTGTTAGTCAGACCCCCACGGGCGGCCCCAACCCTATACCTTTACCATTAGGGGCAAGGGGCAACATGAAATCTCCCCTTCACAGAGAGAGGAAACTATGCTTGCAGGGGTCCCCTCTAGATAGTCTTAGGAGCAGGTAGTGGAAGGTAAAAGAAACAGAAGTTGAGAGAAGAATATAGAA